GGTGAGCTTTGCATATGATCCCTTGGAGCCTGGCCCCTGGAGGAGCAAACTGAACAGGAGTTTGCTGAACAGCAAACTGAACAGCAACCCCCACTGAAACAGTGCTCCCTCCACCCTGGCCACGTAGGACGCTAGTCACTTGACCTAGCCTGTCATCTTTGAGTCACACTTCAGTCTTTCTCTTCTCTGACTCTCTCAAGTTTATTTTTATTATTCAAGCAAGACATGTCTAGTATAGAATAATTCTAAGCAGAAAGCAGGCACTCGACTCAGGTCTTTGCAGCCCCCAAGCCTGTTCCTTTTGCCACACGCGAGGCCCCTGCTTCTGTTCAAAGAAAAATGGAGCAGCACCTGAACCCTGCGGGGTTTTGTTTGTTTTCATACTTTTAAATTTTCATTTCACGAGTGATGTCATTCTGTGCGGGTAACTCAGGTCTGGGTCCTGGTGGGTGCACACTCATCACTGAGCCTGCCCTGCGGGGAGAAGGGAGTGGCCTCCCGCAGAACCCAGCAGAGCCAGGACTGGGAAGCCGGCGGGAACTCTGGAGGGAACTTCAGGCTAGCACAGGTTGACTCCAAAGTGTTCCCAGTCGTCCCCTTTATCTCGCCCTTTTCCCTTTCCTCACATTCTCCCCGGGCTGCAAGGAGTGAGTGGCCCTGCACTGGTCCCAGCTCTCTCCTTGACTCAGGCCTGGGAAATGGGGCCCTGGCCTCGGTGACAGTGGGCAGGATCCAGGGAGAAACTCAAGGCTTGGGGTGTGTGTGTGTGGGGGGGGGTTGGATCTCTTCACCAAGCCCCAGGCCTCCTCATGTCCCTCCCTCCGTACCTCCTGGAGCACACTGCCAGGGAGGCCTAGCTTCCCCTCCCTGGAAGCTGGTCATGTGGGGCTGGGTGCGCTGTGCCCAGTACGGCCAAGTGGCAGGGATGTGTAGGACCTCTGCGGTGCTGAGTGTGTGTGTGGGTGCTCCAGGTCTCCACGCATGGTGGGATGCCATTTGGTTCTAGCGGACCCTCCCAACCAGGGTAATCTGGAGGAAGAGCTCTGGATGTTTTGAGTTCGCCTGTCACCAATTCCATAGGATCTGGGATTCCTCATCTGGTAGCAGGTGGGGAAGGCCAGAGTCTTATGCCTGCTGCCCTTGCTCCCACCGCCAGTTTACACTGGCAGTCTCACTGTCATTTCAACCGGGCCAAGATCCTAGGAACCCAGAGAACCTACCCTGCTTCTCCTAGGTCCCCAGGAACTAGTGGGCTTTGACTTGGCCCAACCAGCAGGTCTGAGCACAGAGAGCTATTTTGTCCTGGGCTAGAGTGGGCTGACACTCTGCCACATGGTGGTCTAGGTCCTCCACTCACAGCAGAAGGAGTGGGTTGAGGGCAGGTCAGGAAAGGGTGCCACCAACTCCAGCTCCACTCAGATGCTCCTTAGGACTAGATCTCCTGAGGGTTTCTACAAGGATCAGCCTGAGTTGGGGAAAGAGGCCCTCCTCCCTCTGGTCACTTTTTCAGGGTGTGGGCCTGAACCAGTCTCTCCAGAAACCCTCCAGTTTCTCCCCACTCACCTTCTCTATGCCTTTTGGTGCTCAGTGGGTGGGACTGACTTCCCAACCCTTGGTGTTGCTGAGGACTGGGTCCCAGCAGCCTTCAGGTAAATAGACCCCCACCCCCATAACTCAAAGTAGACCCTCTAGGGTGGGAAATGTGTGTCCTGTCCTGGGTTCTAGAGGAGCCAAGGTGTGTATGTGGTTGGGTTGGAGTTGGAGCCTGGGTTTGCCTCAACAGAACCCTCAGATCCTCCATGACCAGTGATCCTGAGGCTCTGGCTGGAGCCTTCAGGATCCCCTTCAAATGCTCAGAACCCGGAACATAGGAGGCTCAGTCCTGGGTCTGGCTGTTCTCCCTTCCGTATTTCTTGGGTGCTCTGGCAGACACATCAGGCCAACCATGAGAGCATAGGTTACCACTGGGTGATAGGGCAAGGAACCCAAGTTGGTTGGGACGGGGTGGCCGGGGCAGGAGATGGGGAAGGCTGTCAGTCCTACTAGCTGTCATTTACCCTCTCTGGCATCCAGTTGTCTCCAGTTTGCCTTGTGCTCTCTGGGCTCAGGACAGGTAGCCTCAGCTGCTGCTGTCCTTTCCCCCACACTCAACAGTTGAGGGTCCTATTGTGTGAGCCTGGACTCCTGGAGCCAACTCCCAGGTGCAGCCTGGCTCCTCCTCCCCAGACAGCACTCCCCTGCTTTGCTCTGTCCCCTCCTCCTCTTGGGCAGGGATCCTAGACAGGCTATGGAGCTCTAGGGCCACCAAGATCTGCCACTAGCGCCAGTCCTGGTACAACCTGCTGGCGTCTTCTTGAGCCTATGAATCTTGGGGGCCCATAGGAGGAATGCCCAATGGAGCCTGTGGGTCTAAGGCCTCATTGTAAAGAGGGCCACACAGGAGTGAGTGTCACCAGCAGGACAGGTCTGATGAAATCTTCCAGGTACCTACTACCCAACTGGTACCAGCAGGCAGCTCCCACCTTGACTCTG